CTCACAACATTCCAATCTTGAGAGACACCAGCCCCCCCCCCCCCCCCCAGTCACCCCCCCCCCCCCCCCCCCCCCCCCACCCCCCCCCCCCCCCCCCCCCCCCCTCCCCCCCCCCCCCCCCCCCCCCCCCCCCCCCCCCCCCCCCCCCCCCCCCCCCCCCCCCCCCCCCAGTTGTGTGTTTCTAATGTAGAGACTAATGTGGTTGAAAACGGGCTAAGATCTAGATGAAGGTGCTGGTGGTGGTTTTGGGACGCAGCCCCCGCTCTGTCTCTTTGATGCCTGCTCATGTGGAGGGCTCCTGGCTCTGACTCGCTGACATATGTCTCACTCTCTTGGCCCTGGTTCACTTCCTGTTCCCGCTGACGTCACATGACCACACGCCGCTCGTACACGGACGAGATCAACGCTCGAGAATCCTGTTTTTCTATAAATAGAGCGTTGGTTTAAGAGGCCGGCTCCTTCTCCTGCAGGTTGGACATAAGAAGAGATAACACAGGCTTAAAACTCAGGGTTATGGTCGATTCACATGCACACGTCCCAGGGGACTGAGGCTGTAGACCCAGGACTGAGGCTGTAGACCCAGGACTGAGGCTGTAGACCCAGGACTGAGGCTGTAGCCCCAGGACTGAGGCTGTAGACCCAGGACTGAGGCTGTAGACCCAGGACTGAGGCTGTAGACCCAGGACTGAGGCTGTAGACCCAGGACTGAGGCTGTAGACCCAGGACTGAGGCTGTAGACCCAGGAGAGGCTGTAGACCTAGGACTGAGGCTGTAGACCCAGGACTGAGGCTGTAGACCCAGGACTGAGGCCGTAGACCCAGGACTGAGGCTGTAGACCCAGGACTGAGGCTGTAGACCCAGGACTGAGGCTGTAGACCCAGGACTGAGGCTGTAGACCCAGGACTGAGGCTGTAGACCCAGGACTGAGGCTGTAGACCCCGGACTGAGGCTATAGACTTTGTTGCGAGGCCTTGGAGAGACTTGAGACCAGGACAGCACAGTGGCTGAGTGGTTAGCACTCTCGCTTCTCAGCAAGAAGGTCCTGGGTTCAAATCTCGGTCAGAACAGGGCCTTTCTGACTGGAGTTTGCATATTTTCTCTGTGTCTGTGTAGGTTTCCTCCAGGTGCTCCCGTTTCCCCTACCACTAACAACATGTACAATAGGTCTGTGCCTCCTGTACTGGCCCCTCCCATCTCTGTGTGGACTCAGAGACAACAACAACAAGAACAATTGTAAACTGCTTTGAGACTCTGGTCTGTGAAAGGCGCTATATAAATAAAGATTACTTACTACTAATGTGATGGTACTTCCTGGTTCTAGTCTGGACTCAAACGTTTGTAATGTACTACAGTGTTTTCACAGCTCCAGACAAGCGCATGTGTGAATCTAAACCACAGATGTGACACAGTATTAGATCAAAATTGATATCCCACATTTCTGTACATACAATAAAGCCATGACCCCGGACCTTCTGCGCCTCCAGCTGCTTCGCCAGCATTGTCCGGGTTAAATCCGTCACAAATATGTCGGCTTTTCTGACATACATCTAGCCTGGTATGTAAACAGCTGGCCCGGCAGATAATCATTGTATTAGGCCTTAGTCTTACTCAACAGTGACCGGCCTCGCTAATCCTCAATCACTCAAATGGCTGATATTTCACATTTTCGGGGGCTATCATGGGCGGCTAAAACATGGCTAAGTGGGAGGGGGGCGGCAGGGGCAGGGGGAGGGGGGCGGGTTTGGGGGAGGGAGGGGGAGGGCGGGGGAGGGAGGGGCGCGGGCTCGGCGTGGTCTCGGCTCTGCATTCTGAACATTGGGTGATTTTGTTGTTGGTTTTAAAGGGTAATCTTGCGGAGCTCAGCGACGAGTAATCTTCTTTGTCGGACAAACCCACACATCCATAAATATGAGTTCATTATGTGGCATTTACTGACACAGACACAGACACAGACACCAGGGTATAACATACACAGACACCAGGACATAACAGACAGAGACACTGGGACATAACAGACACAGACACCAGGATATAACAGACACAAACACCAGGATATAACAGACAGAGACACCAGGACATAACAGACACAGACACCAGGGTATAACATACACAGACACCAGGGTATAACATACACAGACACCAGGACATAACAGACACAGACACCAGGGTATAACATACACAGACACCAGGGTATAACAGACACAAACACCAGGATATAACAGACAGAGACACCAGGACATAACAGACACAGACACCAGGGTATAACATACACAGACACCAGGGTATAACATACACAGACACCAGGGTATAACAGACAGAGACACCAGGACATAACAGACACAGACACCAGGGTATAACATACACAGACACCAGGATATAACAGACAGAGACACCAGGACATAACAGACACAGACACCAGGGTATAACATACACAGACACCAGGGTATAACAGACAGAGACACCAGGACATAACAGACACAGACACCAGGGTATAACATACACAGACACCAGGGTATAACATACACAGACACCAGGATATAACAGACAGAGACACCAGGACATAACAGACACAGACACCAGGGTATAACATACACAGACACCAGGACATAACATACACAGACACCAGGGTATAACATACACAGACACCAGGGTATAACAGACAGAGACACCAGGACATAACAGACACAGACACCAGGGTATAACAGACAGAGACACCAGGACATAACAGACACAGACACCAGGGTATAACATACACAGACACCAGGGTATAACAGACACAGACACTGGGACATAACAGACACAAACCTACACAGACACGGGGAGAACATGCAAACTCCACTGTTCCCTGTTCCGACCAGGATTTGAACCCAGCACCTTGCTGAGAAGCGAGAGTGTTAACCACTCAGCCACTGTGCCGCCCAAGTGTAGCACTAGAGCACAGCAGTATTTCAATCTGGAGAGACTTTGAGGAGACAAAATGCATTTTGAATGTTTTTATTGAAGGTGTTTTGGCGCCCTAGGCCCCGGTGCGGCGTTCAGTCAGCGAGGCTCCTGCGAGAGTGCGCACAATCCCCCGGGACCTAGGCACTGGTGGTGGCATTCAGCAGCAGGAAGAGGCATGATGAGAAAAGGAGGAGGAGGGGAGGCGGTGGTTTGTAAGGCTTCAGGAAGGCCGTAAAGTGGGAGTTTCTCTGCTTTTAAGCGGCTGGCCTGGCCGGCGAAGGTTGGTTGGAAATGGGCGTTTGCTGCGATAGGCTGGGGCTGCGAGGCCGGCCTGGAAGGGCTTTAGCCGTCAGTCTTCCAGAGTCTTCCAGAGTCTTCCAGAGTTGAATTTCCGCGAGGCTGCATTTATCTTCTCAGCAGAGAATCAAACACAGAAAAACAGAGAAACTCAGTGGAATAAAAGAGAAACCTCGGAAAGCCCACATGAGCCTCATTTCTGCCTTCTCTACTCTACTCTACTCTACTCTACTCTACTCTACTCTACTCTACTCTACTCTACTCTACTCTTCAGTAACCATCCATCCATCTTCTTCCCCTTAACCCATTTCTGGGTCGGGGGGTGGCAGTCAGGACTACACCCAGTCCACTTAGCACCAGCCCCTGACTGATCCTCCTGCAGGTGCTGAGCCTTGATCTTTTCAGGGGGGGCATCAAAGACCAAAACACCCCGATAATAACGTTGAATCATTTCAGAATGTGTTAATCAGAACCCACATATGTCCCAGAACCTCATGCTAATGCTAATGCTAATGCTAACATGTACAATAACTATGCATTTACTGCACTAGAAAACACAGGAGTTGTTATCTTTTTATAGTATAGTGATTTTTCATGTATCTGGTGATGCAACACTGACATTTCCCCGCTGTGGGACAAATAAAAAATCTCTAACACTTAATCTCACACTCCCGAAAATGAAAGCCGTCAAATTGACTGCTGTGGGAGGAGTGGTGTTATTAAACGGTCGTTACAAGCGCCGCTGCTGCTGCTGTTCTCTGCTGCGTCATCAGTTTGGTTCTGCTGATCCGCGGCAGTGATCCAGGCTCCGGGCTCCTGATGGAACCCCCCTCTGACCCTGTCTCTCTCTGGGGAAGCAGCAGTCCATCCTGGGCCCCGGGACAGTGCGGGGGCAGGGGTCCGGGGGCTGATGTATGAAGCCTTTATTACTCTGGACAAAGCAGATCCGTTGCCGCGGTCGGAGGCAGCCGCAGAGTCGGACACAAAGGGTGCGGTTTGAAGTGTTTTAGTTTGGCAGAAAGCAGACGTTACATTTTGTTAAGCAGGGTTAGTCAGGGCAGGTGTGGGTGATTATTTTCTCCTGGGGCCACATTGGAATATCTGCATTTTCAACAAGATTTATGTGGCTTGTCTGTGTAGTTAAATTAGACAAAAAGCTATTCTAAAATCTAAAAACTGATTGAGCCAGTGTTTTCTTTGTATTACTTTATCTACTTATTAGTAACAAGGATTAAGTTATGGTGAAGAGGGAGCAGCGTCTGCAGTCAGAGCTGTATCAGACCGTTGTGGTGAAGAGGGAGCAGCGTCTGCAGTCAGAGCTGTATCAGACCGTTGTGGTGAAGAGGGAGCAGCGTCTGCAGTCAGAGTGTGCGGAGAGAGGTCTAGAACAATGCCTTAAACACCGAGTCCTTCTGAGATTAATTCTTTCACAGATTGAAAATGAACTAATTACATTTCTGTTTATCTCACACAAAAATCACCACGACGACGCAAGAACTAATTGCATATATTGTCGATTCCGTGTTTAAGCCTTCTATTGTTACAACCTCTATCAAAATCTCCCCTTTCGCCGCAGCACACAGGCCTCCATTTTGCTTTTACGTGTTAAAGAAATCAAGCTAAAGGCGATATAAATATAAATCCAATTAAATACGATGTTCTTTTAGTGAGAATTTCCTCCCGTTGACGTCCGTTTCATTCAGACCTAATGCCCATCACGGTGTCTATAAAGCGGAAATGTAAAATGTCATGTCTTCATAAGGTGATTAAAGTCCGGCTCCGGGCCTGATATCGCCCATGAAAGGATTATATACGGTGCCTTTAATCTTCCCGTCATCGCAGAAAGACAGATCTCGACGCACGGTGAGTCCTGCAGCTGGAGGCTCAGGGCCGTGGGTTTGATGGACGGGCTTTGGAGTCTATCCAAGCTGGAGCTGGGTAAAAACCGTGGTGAGAAAAGCTAAGCGGAGAAGGGGCTGGTTAGTGCTGTGATGGGAGACCTCTGGGAACACCAAGGTCATACACAAAGTAACTCAAACTGCCGAACAAAACAAGAAGTGAAATATAGAAATAAAATAAAACAGCTTTGAACTTTGTCAGAGAAGAAGCCTGTCTCACGTTTTCAGGAAGACGGTTACAGATTTTAGCTGCATGAATCTGAAATGCTGCCTCCTCATGTTTGGTCCTGACTCTGGGACCAGCAGGAGGCCGGTCCCTGTGCTCCTCAGAGTCCCAGCAGGAGACCAGTCCCTGTGCTCCTCAGAGTCCCAGCAGGAGACCAGTCCCTGTGCTCCTCAGAGTCCCAGCAGGAGACCAGTCCCTGTGCTCCTCAGAGTCCCAGCAGGAGGCCAGTCCCTGTGCTCCTCAGAGTCCCAGCAGGAGGCCAGTCCCTGTGCTCCTCAGAGTCCCAGCAGGAGACCAGTCCCTGTGCTCCTCAGAGTCCCAGCAGGAGACCAGTCCCTGTGCTCCTCAGAGTCCCAGCAGGAGGCCAGTCCCTGTGCTCCTCAGAGTCCCAGCAGGAGGCCAGTCCCTGTGCTCCTCAGAGTCCCAGCAGGAGACCAGTCCCTGTGCTCCTCAGAGTCCCAGCAGGAGACCAGTCCCTGTGCTCCTCAGAGTCCCAGCAGGAGGCCAGTCCCTGTGCTCCTCAGAGTCCCAGCAGGAGACCAGTCCCTGTGCTCCTCAGAGTTGGTTCATATGGCCCTAACATGTCTCAGATGTACTGTAGTGCGAGGCTGTGGAGAGGCACAGACCGACTCTTTTGTGATATTTTTTCTGCAGACTTTCTGAATGTAATTTTCATACTATTTTTTACACAAAATGACACATCCACATTTGGTCTTCTCTGTCTTCTCTGGCGTCTGATTCTCGGAGTTGAAACCAGACTGTGACGTGTGAGTGGAGCTGTGATTGTGGCTGTGGATCCTTTCCCCTGAGTTTTGTCTGTCAGGCTGCGTCTGTCACTCACACCTTCAGTTCTGCTGCTCTGCCTTCGCTTTGGTAACTGCACATCAGCTCCTGTCGACCATGAAGGAGACCGACACCAGAGAGAGCAAACACCAGCACCGCAGGGAGAATATGGTAGTTAGAAGTACCAGCAAATACCAGATGCGTTTGGAAATTATAGGAAAGATTTAGAACAATATAGACTTTACAAAACTGTCGATTCGTCATCACAGATCAGAGAATCAAACAGGCCACTGTCCATAAATGTTGTTGAATGTTGACGGTCCTGAGACCTCCTGCAAACACTAAACCAACTCTTAAATTCAATCCAACAGCAGTCTCCTCCTGGGACTTTACAATGTTGTACATTTGACAACATTAGATTAGAATCTATAAGAACAAACACAGATGGTTTCACAGTCGGTCCACAGGCGGCAGGACGACCAGAGTCTATACATGTTCATACATGTTCATACATGTTCATACGTGTTCATACGTGTTCATACATGTTCATACATATTCATACATGTTCATACATGTTCATACATGTTCATACATGTTCATACATGTTCATACATGTTCATAAATGTTCATACATGTTCATACATGTTCATACATGTTCATACATGTTCATACATGTTCATACGTGTTCATACGGGTTCATACGTGTTCATACGTGTTCATACGTGTTCATACGTGTTCATACATGTTCATACGTGTTCATACGTGTTCATACGTGTTCATACATGTTCATACGTGTTCATACGTGTTCATACGTGTTCATACATGTTCATACGTGTTCATACATGTTCATACGTGTTCATACGTGTTCATACGTGTTCATACGTGTTCATACGTGTTCATACATGTTCATACATGTTCATACGTGTTCATACGTGTTCATACGTGTTCATACGTGTTCATACATGTTCATACGTGTTCATACATGTTCATACGTGTTCATACATGTTCATACGTGTTCATACGTGTTCATACGTGTTCATACGTGTTCATACGTGTTCATACATGTTCATACGTGTTCATACGTGTTCATACATGTTCATACGTGTTCATACATGTTCATACGTGTTTATACATGTTCATACGTGTTCATACATGTTCATACATGTTCATACGTGTTCATACATGTTCATACATGTTCATACATGTTCATACGTGTTCATACATGTTCATACATGTTCATACTTGTCCATCTACTTTCATTCATTCATACAAGTCTTTACTGGTTTCTCCCTCAGAGATTAGTGGGAGGAGCTTAGATTAGCTCAGACATACCAGAGATACCTTCTGAAGGGTCCAAGCAGATCCCTCTCTCATTATGGACCTCCCCAAGTTTTTATTTTTTTCCAAGTGGGGTTTTTGAGTTGTTTCTTGCCATTACAGGAGGGTCTGAGGGCAGTGATGATTCGGGTCTATTATATCTATTTAATCTACAATCTATTATATTCATCTATTTATCAACATTAATGGACATTACGGGCGACAGTAGCTCAGTTGGTAGAGCATTGGCCTTTGGGCCTGAAGGTCGTGGGTTCAAGCCCACCATAAGACCTACTTCATGACTCCCACTGATGACTGCTGTCGTTGTGTCCTTGGGCAAGACACTTAACCCCACTTTGCCTGAAGCCCCCACTGAAAGATCTCAGCTCCTGTGGACTCACCACCTGCAGGAGGATCAGTGAGAGGCTGGTGCTAAGTGTACTGGGTGCAGCTCTGACTGCCACCCCCCCAACCCAGAAATGGATTAAGGGGAAGAAAATGGATGGATGGATAATGGACATTGGTCATCTGCGCCTCACGGACAAATGCCTTTAAAGTCCTGCTGGAACTGTTTTTAACTGTGTTTTGCATGAAACTTTGTACCTTTTGTAAGACGACTTTGAGAGCCTAGAAAGGTGCCTTATTATTTAAGTTATTATTAGTTATAAGTCATTACCAGTGGGGGCGGGACCCGGCTCAAAAATGGCCAAAATGACGTGCGTTGACATGCTGCAATACCACCCCGGGCCTGTGGGGGTGGACCCGGAATGAGAATTAGCCAATGCTAACATATAGCATCTTCTTACCTCTGGAAAACGTCTTTACAGGATGGTCCAAAAGTGGCCCTTGGCCCAAAGCTCCGTTCCACATGTGTGTCAATGCTGAGTGTTCTGGACCAGTCTAGTTTAGTCGCTGTGGACTTTAGAAGTCTCTCGTTTAAATGAATGGGGCTCGTGCAGCTGACGCATGCACAGATGTGTTTTTTCACATTTTCCAGCCCCCGCGGCCATTTTGAATCACTCCATGAAAGCCCAATTTTTGGCCCAGTAGTTAGAACGGCGGAGAAAGGCCTGACTAGGTCCGTTAATATTTAGTCTATGGTTATTACTATATACAGTCTATGGTTATGACTTTCTTCCCCCTGACCTTTTCCTCAGCTTCTCAACTTATTTATTGCCACTTGGAATTTGAATACAAACAGGAGACACTGGGGGCACCGACACCACAAAGTACACACACACAAAGACATAAAGAATAAAAATAGCAAGACACAGTGAGGCACATATAAAACTCTTAAAAGCATTATTAAGAAGCTACGAAGAAGCTACAGAGGTGTTCACCTCTCCTGGTTGTGTTTTCCAGGGTGAGGGCTCTAACTTCCTGCAGCTGGGCGCCTCCATCGAGCAGCAGATCAACGGCATGTTCAAGGTGATGGAGGAGTACAACTGGGACAGCTTCGTGGTCATCACCAGCCTCTACCCGGGCTACGAGACCTTTGTGGATTACATCAAGTCCTTCACCGACACCAGCTACTTCCTGTGGGAGCTCCAGGACGTGCTCTCTTTCGACATGTCCGCCGACGGCCTCAGCGACCTCCGCGCCCGCCGCCTCCTGCAGCAGATCGATGCCCAGGTCCTGCTGGTCTACTGCTCCCACGAAGAGGCCCAGTACCTGTTCGCCATGGCCAAGGACGTGGGGCTGGTGGGGCCGGGCTACATTTGGATTATCCCCAGTTTGGCGGTGGGGAACCCGGACATCGCCCCGCCGGAGAGCTTCCCCATCGGGCTCATCAGCATCATCACGGACCGCTGGAGGATGAGTCTGAGGAAGAGGGTGCGAGACGGAGTGGCCATTGTGGTCAAAGGGGTTCAGAGCTTCAGGAAGCAGCGAGGGTTCATCCCCGAAGGACACAGCGACTGCCACAGCCCGGTCAAACCAGCCGTGACCAACGATACTCTGTTCAGGTGAGGAGGAGGAGGAGGAGGAGGAGGAGGAGGAGGAGGAGGAGGAGGAGGAGGGAGGAGGAGGGAGGAGGAGGGAGGAGGAGGGAGGAGGAGGGAGGAGGAGGAGGAGGGAGGAGGAGGGAGGAGGAGAGAATAGGAGGGAGGAGGAGGAGGAGGGAGGAGGGGGAGGAGGAGAGAGTTTGTGGGAGAGAGGGTAGAGTAAGCAATTATCTTTATTTAAAGTAGGAAGACAACTTGTTTGGCTTGTGTGCACTGCTGCGGTCTCTCTCTGGACTCTCTCTGGTCTCTCTCTGGTCTCTCTCTGGACTCTCTCTGGTCTCTCTCTCTGGTCTCTCTCTGGTCTCTCTCTGGTCTCTCTCTCTGGTCTCTCTCTGGTCTCTCTCTTGTCTCTCTCTCTGGTCTCTCTCTCTCTCTGGTCTCTCTCTGGTCTCTCTCTGGTCTCTCTCTCTCTGGTCTCTCTCTGGTCTCTCTCTGGTCTCTCTCTGGTCTCTCTCTGGTCTCTCTCTGGTCTCTCTCTGGTCTCTCTCTTGTCTCTCTCTCTGGACTCTCTCTGGTCTCTCTCTTGTCTCTCTCTCTGGTCTCCCTCTGGTCTCTCTCTGGTCTTTCTCTGATCTCTCTCTGGTCTCTCTCTGGACTCTCTCTGGTCTCTCTCTGGTCTCTCTCTGGACTCTCTCTGGTGGTCTCTCTGATACAGCAGGTGAGATACAGCAGTGAGGGATACAGCAGGAGATGACAGCAGGTAGAGGGGACAGCAGGTGATACAGCAGGTACAGCAGTACAGCAGGTGATACAGCAGTACAGCAGGTGATTGAGGAGAACAGCAGGTGATTACAGCAGAGACAGCAGGAGGACAGCCAGGAGATACAGCAGGTTGATACAGCAGGAGATACAGCAGGGATACAGCAGGAGATACAGCAGGTGATACAGCAGGTGATACAGCAGGAGAGACAGCAGGGATACGGGAGGTACAGCAGGTGATACAGCAGGAGAGACAGAGGTGATACAGCAGGTGATACAGCAGGAGAGACAGAGGTGATACAGCAGGTGATACAGCAGGAGATACAGCAGGTAATACAGCAGGGAGATACAGCAGGTGATACAGCAGGTGATACAGCAGGAGAGGACAGCAGGTGATAGGAGCAGGAGAGACAGCAGGAGAGACAGACAGGTGATACAGCAGGAGATACAGCAGGAGATACAGCAGGTGATACAGCAGTAGGAGAGACAGCAGATACAGCAGGTGATACAGCAGGTGATACAGCAGGTGATACAGCAGCAGGAGATAGCAGCAGGTGATACAGCAGGTGATACAGCAGGTGATACAGCAGAGTACAGCAGGAGAGACAGCAGGTGATACAGCAGGTGATACAGCAGGTGATACAGCAGGTGATACAGCAGGTGATACAGCAGGTGATACAGCAGGAGAGACAGCAGGAACAGCAGGTGATACAGCAGGGATACAGCAGGGATACAGCAGGTGATACAGCAGGTGAGACAGCAGACAGCAGAGTGACAGCAGGTGATACAGCAGGGATACACAGCAGGTGATACAGCAGGAGAGACAGCAGAACAGCAGGTGATACAGCAGGGAGACAGCGGATACAGCAGGTGATACAGCAGGAGAGACAGCAGGTGATACAGCAGGTGATACAGCAGGAGAGACAGCAGGATGAGTACAGCAGGAGAACAGCAGGTGATACAGCAGTGATACGAGACAGCAGGAGAGACAGCAGGAGAGAAACAGGTGATACAGCAGGAGATACAGCAGGTGATACAGCAGGTGATACAGCAGGTGATACAGCAGGAGAGACAGCAGGAGAGACACAGGTGATACAGCAGGAGATACAGCAGGTGATACAGCAGGTGATACAGCAGGTGATACAGCAGGAGAGACAGCAGAGATACAGCAGGTGATACAGCAGGTGATACAGCAGGTGATACAGCAGTGATACAGCAGGAGAACAGCAGGTGATACAGCAGGTGATACAGCAGGAGAGACAGCAGGAGAGACAACAGGTGGGACAGCAGGTGATACAGCAGGAGAGACAGCAGGTGATACAGCAGGTGATACAGCAGGTGATACAGCAGGTGATACAGCAGGAGAGACAGCAGGAGAGACAGCAGGTGATACAGCAGGAGATACAGTAGGAGAGACACCAGGTGATACAGCAGGTGATACAGCAGGTGATACAGCAGGAGACAGCAGGAGAGACAGCAGGAGAGACAGCAGGTGATACAGCAGGTGATACAGCAGGAGGCACTAGGAGAGAAAGCAGGAGAGACAGCAGGTGATACAGCAGGTGATACAGCAGGAGAGACAGCAGGAGATACAGCAGGTGATACAGCAGGTGATACAGCAGGAGAGACAGCAAGAGAGACAACAGGAGAGACAGCAGGTGATACAGCAGGAGAGACAGCAGGTGATACAGCAGGAGAGACAGCAGGAGAGACAGCAGGTGAGACAGCAGGTGATACAGCAGGTGATACAGCAGGTGATACAGCAGGTGATACAGCAGGAGAGACAGCAGGAGAGACAGCAGGTGATACAGCAGGAGAGACAGCAGGAGAGACAGCAGGTGAGACAGCAGGTGATACAGCAGGTGATACAGCAGGAGAGACAGCAGGTGATACAGCAGGTGATACAGCAGGAGAGACAGCAGGTGATACAGCAGGAGACAGCAGGAGAGACAGCAGGAGAGACAGCAGGTGATACAGCAGGTGATACAGCAGGTGATACAAAAGGAGAGACAGCAGGTGATACAGCAGGAGACAGCAGGAGAGACAGCAGGAGAGACAGAAGGAGATACAGCAGGTGATACAGCAGGTGATACAGCAGGAGAGACAGCAGGTGATACAGCAGGTGATACAGCAGGAGAGACAGCAGGTGATACAGCAGGTGATACAGCAGGAGATACAGCAGGGAGAGACAGCAGGAGAGACAGCAGGTGATACAGCAGGTGATACAGCAGGTGATACAGCAGGAGATACAGCAGGTGATACAGCAGGTGAGACAGCAGGTGAGACAGCAGGTGATACAGCAGGTGATACAGCAGGAGAGACACCAGAAGAGACAGCAGGAGAGACAGCAGTGATACAGCAGGTGAACAGCAGGTGAGACAGCAGGTGAGACAGCAGGGAACAGCGGTGAGACAGCAGGTGATACAGCAGGTGAACAGCAGGGACAGCAGGTGAACAGAGAGACAGGGATCAGAAGAGGTGATACAGAGACAGCAGGAGACAGCAGGTGATACAGAGAACAGCAGGTGATACAGCAGGAGAGACAGCAGGAGATACAGCAGGTGATACAGCAGGAGAGACAGCAGGAAAGACAGCAGGTGATACAGCAGGTGATACAGCAGGTGATACAGCAGGTGATACAGCAGGAGAGACAGTAGGAGAGACAGCAGGTGATACAGCAGGTGATACAGCAGGTGATACAGCAGGAGATACAGCAGGAGAGACAGCAGGAGAGACAGCAGGTGATACAGCAGGAGAGACAGCAGGAGAGACAGCAGGTGATAAAGCAGGTGATACAGCAGGTGATACAGCAGGTGATACAGCAGGAGAGACAGCAGGAGAGACAGCAGGTGATACAGCAGGTGATACAGCAGGAGAGACAGCAGGTGATACAGCAGGAGAGACAGCATCTGATACAGCAGGTGATACAGCAGGTGATACAGCAGGAGAGACAGCAGGTGATACAGCAGGTGATACAGCAGGAGAGACAGCAGGAGATACAGCAGGAGAGACAGCAGGTGATACAGCAGGAGAGACAGCAGGTGATACAGCAGGTGATACAGCAGGAGAGACAGCAGGTAATACAGCAGGTGATACAGCAGGAGATACAGCAGGTGATACAGCAGGAGAGACAGCAGGTGATACAGCAGGAGAGACAGCAGGAGAGACAGCAGGTGATGATACAGCAGGAGATACAGCAGGTGATACAGCAGGTGATACAGCAGGTGATACAGCAGGAGAGACAGCAGGAGAGACAGCAGGTGATACAGCAGGTGATACAGCAGGAGAGACAGCAGGTGATACAGCAGGAGAGACAGCAGGTGATACAGCAGGTGATACAGCAGGTGATACAGCAGGAGAGACAGCAGGTGATACAGCAGGTGATACAGCAGGAGAGACAGCAGGAGAGACAGCAGGTGATACAGCAGGTGATACAGCAGGAGAGACAGCAGGTGATACAGCAGGTGATACAGCAGGAGAGACAGCAGGTGATACAGCAGGTGATACAGCAGGTGATACAGCAGGAGAGACAGCAGGAGAGACAACAGGTGATACAGCAGGAGATACAGCAGGTGATACAGCAGGTGATACAGCAGGAGATACAGTAGGAGAGACAGCAGGTGATACAGCAGGTTATACAGCAGGTGATACAGCAGGTGATACAGCAGGAGAGACAGCAGGAGAGACAGCAGGTGATACAGCAGGAGATACAGCAGGTGATACAGCAGGTGATACAGTAGGTGAGACAGCAGCAGAGACAGCAGGTGATACAGCAGGTGATACAGCAGGTGATACAGCAGGAGAGACAGCAGGTGATACAGCAGGAGATACAGCAGGTGAGACAGCAGGAGAGACAGCAGGTGATACAGCAGGTGATACAGCAGGAGAGACAGCAGGTGATACAGCAGGTGATACAGCAGGAGAGACAGCAGGAGATACAGCAGGAGAGACAGCAGGTGATACAGCAGGAGAGACAGCAGGAGAGACAGCAGGAGAGACAACAGGTGATACAGAAGGAGATACAGCAGGTGATACAGCAGGTGATACAGCAGGTGATACAGCAGGAGAGACAGCAGGAGAGACAACAGGTGATACAGCAGGAGATACAGCAGGTGATACAGCAGGTGAGACAGCAGGAGAGACAGCAGGTGATACAGCAGGTGATACAGCAGGTGATACAGCAGGAGAGACAGCAGGTGATACAGCAGGTGATACAGCAGGAGAAACAGCAGGAGAGACAACAGGTGAGACAGCAGGTGATACAGCAGGAGAGACAGCAGGTGATACAGCAGGTGATACAGCAGGTGATACAGCAGGTGATACAGCAGGAGAGACAGCAGGAGAGACAGCAGGTGATACAGCAGGAGATACAGTAGGAGAGACACCAGGTGATACAGCAGGTGATACAGCAGGAGAGACAGCAGGTGATACAGCAGGTGATACAGCAGGAGACAGCAGGAGAGACAGCAGGAGAGACAGCAGGTGAGACAGCAGGTGATACAGCAGGAGGCACTAGGAGAGACAGCAGGAGAGACAGCAGGTGATACAGCAGGTGATACAGCAGGAGAGACAGCAGGAGATACAGCAGGTGATACAGCAGGTGATACAGCAGGTGATACAGCAGGAGAGACAGCAAGAGAGACAGCAGGAGAGACAGCAGGTGATACAGCAGGAGAGACAGCAGGTGATACAGCAGGAGAGACAGCAGGAGAGACAGCAGGTGAGACAGCAGGTGATACAGCAGGTGATACAGCAGGTGATACAGCAGGTGATACAGCAGGAGAGACAGCAGGAGAGACAGCAGGTGATACAGCAGGAGAGACAGCAGGTGATACAGCAGGAGAGACAGCAGGAGAGACAGCAGGTGAGACAGCAGGTGATACAGCAGGTGATACAGCAGGAGAGACAGCAGGTGATACAGCAGGTGATACAGCAGGAGAGACAGCAGGTGATACAGCAGGAGACAGCAGGAGAGACAGCAGGAGAGACAGCAGGTGATACAGCAGGTGATACAGCAGGTGATACAGCAGGAGAGACAGCAGGTGATACAGCAGGAGACAGCAGGAGAGACAGCAGGAGAGACAGCAGGAGAGACAGAAGGAGATACAGCAGGAGAGACAGCAGGTGATACAGCAGGTGATACAGCAGGAGAGACAGCAGGTGATACAGCAGGTGATACAGCAGGAGAGACAGCAGGTGATACAGCAGGTGATACAGCAGGAGATACAGCAGGAGAGACAGCAGGAGAGACAGCAGGTGATACAGCAGGTGATACAGCAGGTGATACAGCAGGAGATACAGCAGGTGATACAGCAGGTGAGACTGCAGGTGAGACAGCAGGTGATACAGCAGGTGATACAGCAGGAGAGACACCAGAAGAGACAGCAGGAGAGACAGCAGGTGATACAGCAGGTGAGACAGCAGGTGAGACAGCAGGTGATACAGCCGGAGAGACAGCAGGTGATACAGCAGGTGATACAGCAGGAGAGACAGCAGGAGAGACAGCAGGAGATACAGCAGGAGAGACAGCAGGAGATACAGCAGGTGATACAGCAGGAGAGACAGCAGGAGAGACAGCAGGTGATACAGCAGGTGATACAGCAGGTGATACAGCAGGTGATACAGCAGGAGATACAGTAGGAGAGACAGCAGGTGATACAGCAGGTGATACAGCAGGTGATACAGCAGGTGATACAGCAGGTGATACAGCAGGAGATACAGCAGGTGAGACAGCAGGAGAGACAACAGGTGATACAGCAGGTGATACAGCAGGAGAGACAGCAGGTGATACAGCAGGTGATACAGCAGGAGAGACAGCAGGTGATACAGCAGGTGATACAGCAGGTGATACAGCAGGAGATACAGCAGGTGATACAGCAGGTGATACAGCAGGAGATACAGCAGGTGATACAGCAGGTGATACAGCAGGTGATACAGCAGGAGAGACAGCAGGTGATACAGCAGGTGATACAGCAGGTGATACAGCAGGAGAGACAGCAGGTGATACAGCAGGTGATACAGCAGGAGAGACAGCAGGTGATACAGCAGGTGATACAGCAGGTGATACAGCAGGAGATACAGCAGGTGATACAGCAGGTGATACAGCAGGAGAGACAGCAGGAGAGACAGCAGGTGATACAGCAGGTGAGACAGCAGGAGAGACAGCAGGTGATACAGCAGGTGATACAGCAGGTGATACAGCAGGAGAGACAGCAGGTGATACAGCAGGTGATACAGCAGGAGAGACAGCAGGTGATACAGCAGGTGATACAGCAGGTGATACAGCAGGAGATACAGCAGGTGATACAGCAGGTGATACAGCAGGAGATACAGCAGGTGATACAGCAGGTGATACAGCAGGTGATACAGCAGGAGAGACAGCAGGTGATACAGCAGGTGAGACAGCAGGTGATACAGCAGGAGAGACAGCAGGTGATACAGCAGGTGATACAGCAGGTGATACAGCAGGTGATACAGCAGGAGAGACAGCAGGAGAGACAGCAGGTGATACAGCAGGAGATACAGTAGGAGAGACAGCAGGAGAGACAGCAGGTGATACAGCAGGTGATACAGCAGGAGAGACAGCAGGTGATACAGCAGGTGATACAGCAGGAGACAGCAGGAGAGACAGCAGGAGAGACAGCAGGTGATACAGCAGGAGAGACAGCAGGAGAGACAGCACGTGAGACAGCAGGTGATACAGCAGGTGATACAGCAGGTGATACAGCAGGTGATACAGCAGGAGAGACAGCAGGAGATACAGCAGGAGAGACAGCAGGTGATACAGCAGGTGATACAGCAGGAGAGACAACAGGTGATACAGCAGGTGATACAGCAGGAGAGACAGCAGGAGAGACAGCAGGTGATACAGCAGGTGATACAGCAGGTGATACAGCAGGAGAGACAGCAGGTGATACAGCAGGTGATACAGCAGGAGAGACAGCAGGTGATACAGCAGGTGAGACAGCAGGTGATACAGCAGGTGATACAGCAGGAGAGACAGCAGGTGATACAGCAGGTGATACAGCAGGAGAGACAGCAGGTGATACAGCAGGAGACAGCAGGAGAGACAGCAGGAGAGACAGCAGGTGATACAGCAGGTGATACAGCAGGAGAGACAGCAGGTGATACAGCAGGAGACAGCAGGAGAGACAGCAGGAGAGACAGCAGGAGAGACAGAAGGAGATACAGCAGGTGAGACAGCAGGTGATACAGCAGGAGAGACAGCAGGTGAGACAGCAGGTGATACAGCAGGAGAGACAGCAGGTGATACAGCAGGTGAGACAGCAGGTGAGACAGCAGAAGAGACAGCAGGAGAGACAGCAGGTGATACAGCAGGTGAGACAGCAGGTGAGACAGCAGGTGATACAGCCGGAGAGACAGCAGGTGATACAGCAGGTGATACAGCAGGAGAGACAGCAGGAGAGACAGCAGGTGATACAGCAGGAGAGACAGCAGGAGATACAGCAGGTGATACATCAGGAGAGACAGCAGGAGATACAGCAGGAGAGACAGCAGGAGATACAGCAGGTGATACAGCAGGAGAGACAGCAGGAGAGACAGCAGGTGATACAGCAGGTGATACAGCAGGTGATACAGCAGGAGAGACAGCAGGAGAGACAGCAGAAGAGACAGCAGGAGAGACAGCAGGTGATACAGCAGGTGAGACAGCAGGTGAGACAGCAGGTGATACAGCAGGAGAGACAGCAGGTGATACAGCAGGAGACAGCAGGAGAGACAGCAGGAGAGACAGAAGGAGATACAGCAGGTGATACATCAGGAGAGACAGCAGGTGATACAGCAGGTGATACAGCAGGAGAGACAGCAGGTGATACAGCAGGTGATACAGCAGGAGATACAGCAGGAGAGACAGCAGGAGAGACAGCAGGTGATACAGCAGGAGAGACAGCAGGTGATACAGCAGGTGATACAGCAGGAGAGACAGCAGAAGAGACAGCAGGAGAGACAGCAGGTGATACAGCAGGTGAGACAGCAGGTGAGACAGCAGAAGAGACATCAGGAGAGACAGCAGGAGAGACAGCAGGTGATACAGCAGGTGATACAGCAGGTGAGACAGCAGGTGAGACAGCAGGTGATACAGCCGGAGAGACAGCAGGTGATACAGCAGGTGATACAGCAGGAGAGACAGCAGGAGAGACAGCAGGAGATACAGCAGGAGAGACAGCAGGTGATACAGCAGGAGAGACAGCAGGTGATACAGCAGGTGATACAGCAGGTGATACAGCAGGTGATACAGCAGGAGAGACAGCAGGTGATACAGCAGGTGATACAGCAGGTGATACAGCAGGAGAGACAGCAGGAGAGACAGCAGGTGATACAGCAGGTGATACAGCAAGAGAGACAGCAGGTGATACAGCAGGTGATACAGCAGGAGAGACAGCAGGTGATACAGCAGGTGATACAGCAGGAGAGACAGCAGGAGAGACAGCAGGTGATACAGCAGGTGATACAGCAAGAGATACAGCAGGTGATACAGCAGGTGATACAGCAGGAGAGACAGCAAGAGATACAGCAGGAGAGACAGCAGGATATACTGCTGCTGCTGCTGCCGCTGCTGCTACTGCTGCTACTGCTACTGCTGCTGCTACTGCTGCTACTGCTGCTGCTGCTGCTGCTACTGCTACTGCTACTGCTGCTGCTACTGCTGCTACTGCTACTGCTGCTGCTACTGCTGATACTGCTACTGCTGCTGCTACTGCTGCTTTCTCTAGAACAAACTTTATTCAATCAATAACGGCCTCATCCATCACTCACTGCGTGTCTCCTTTAGCTCCTTTCCCCTGTCCCTGTGCTAACACTGAGAATATCCCATGTTCGTCCCTGTGCTAACACTGAGAATATCCCATGTCTGTCCCTGTGCTAACACTGAGAATATCCCATGTTTGTCCCTGTGCTAACACTGAGAATATCCCATGTTTGTCCCTGTGCTAACACTGAGAATATCCCATGTTTGTCCCTGTGCTAACACTGAGAATATCCCATGTCTGTCCCTGTGCTAACACTGAGAATATCCCATGTTCGTCCCTGTGCTAACACTGAGAATATCCCATGTCTGTCCCTGTGCTAACACTGAGAATATCCCATGTTCGTCCCTGTGCTAACACTGAGAATATCCCATGTCTGTCCCTGTGCTAACACTGAGAATATCCCATGTCTGTCCCTGTGCTAACACTGAGAATATCCCATGTTTGTCCCTGTGCTAACACTGAGAATATCCCATGTCTGTCCCTGTGCTAACACTGAGAATATCCCATGTTCGTCCCTGTGCTAACACTGAGAATATCCCATGTTCGTCCCTGTGCTAACACTGAGAATATCCCATGTCTGTCCCTGTGCTAACACTGAGAATATCCCATGTTTGTCCCTGTGCTAACACTGAGAATATCCCATGTTCGTCCCTGTGCTAACACTGAGAATATCCCATGTTTGTCCCTGTGCTAACACTGAGAATATCCCATGTTCGTCCCTGTGCTAACACTGAGAATATCCCATGTTCGTCCCTGTGCTAACACTGAGAATATCCCATGTTCGTCCCTGTGCTAACACTGAGAATATCCCATGTTTGTCCCTGTGCTAACACTGAGAATATCCCATGTCTGTCCCTGTGCTAACACTGAGAATATCCCATGTTTGTCCCTGTGCTAACACTGAGAATATCCCATGTTTGTCCCTGTGCTAACACTGAGAATATCCCATGTTCGTCCCTGTGCTAACACTGAGAATATCCCATGTTCGTCCCTGTGCTAACACTGAGAATATCCCCTGTTTGTCCCTGTGCTAACACTGAGAATATCCCATGTTTGTCCCTGTGCTAACACTGAGAATATCCCATGTTTGTCCCTGTGCTAACACTGAGAATATCCCATGTTTGTCCCTGTGCTAACACTGAGAATATCCCATGTTTGTCCCTGTGCTAACACTGAGAATATCCCATGTTCGTCCCTGTGCTAACACTGAGAATATCCCATGTCTGTCCCTGTGCTAACACTGAGAATATCCCATGTTTGTCCCTGTGCTAACACTGAGAATATCCCATGTTTGTCCCTGTGCTAACACTGAGAATATCCCATGTTTGTCCCTGTGCTAACACTGAGAATATCCCATGTTTGTCCCTGTGCTAACACTGAGAATATCCCATGTCTGTCCCTGTGCTAACACTGAGAATATCCCATGTTCGTCCCTGTGCTAACACTGAGAATATCCCATGTTTGTCCCTGTGCTAACACTGAGAATATCCCATGTTTGTCCCTGTGCTAACACTGAGAATATCCCATGTTCGTCCCTGTGCTAACACTGAGAATATCCCATGTTTGTCCCTGTGCTAACACTGAGAATATCCCATGTCTGTCCCTGTGCTAACACTGAGAATATCCCATGTTTGTCCCTGTGCTAACACTGAGAATATCCCATGTTTGTCCCTGTGCTAACACTGAGAATATCCCATGTTCGTCCCTGTGCTAACACTGAGAATATCCCATGTTCGTCCCTGTGCTAACACTGAGAATATCCCCTGTTTGTCCCCGTGCTAACACTGAGAATATCCCATGTTTGTCCCTGTGCTAACACTGAGAATATCCCATGTTTGTCCCTGTGCTAACACTGAGAATATCCCATGTTTGTCCCTGTGCTAACACTGAGAATATCCCATGTTTGTCCCTGTGCTAACACTGAGAATATCCCATGTTCGTCCCTGTGCTAACACTGAGAATATCCCATGTCTGTCCCTGTGCTAACACTGAGAATATCCCATGTTTGTCCCTGTGCTAACACTGAGAATATCCCATGTTTGTCCCTGTGCTAACACTGAGAATATCCCATGTCTGTCCCTGTGCTAACACTGAGAATATCCCATGTCTGTCCCTGTGCTAACACTGAGAATATCCCATGTTTGTCCCTGTGCTAACACTGAGAATATCCCATGTTTGTCCCTGTGCTAACACTGAGAATATCCCATGTTTGTCCCTGTGCTAACACTGAGAATATCCCATGTTTGTCCCTGTGCTAACACTGAGAATATCCCATGTCTGTCCCTGTGCTAACACTGAGAATATCCCATGTCTGTCCCTGTGCTAACACTGAGAATATCCCATGTTCGTCCCTGTGCTAACACTGAGAATATCCCATGTTCGTCCCTGTGCTAACACTGAGAATATCCCATGTTTGTCCCTGTGCTAACACTGAGAATATCCCATGTCTGTCCCTGTGCTAACACTGAGAATATCCCATGTTCGTCCCTGTGCTAACACTGAGAATATCCCATGTTCGTCCCTGTGCTAACACTGAGAATATCCCATGTTTGTCCCTGTGCTAACACTGAGAATATCCCATGTCTGTCCCTGTGCTAACACTGAGAATATCCCATGTCTGTCCCTGTGCTAACACTGAGAATATCCCATGTTTGTCCCTGTGCTAACACTGAGAATATCCCATGTCTGTCCCTGTGCTAACACTGAGAATATCCCATGTTCGTCCCTGTGCTAACACTGAGAATATCCCATGTTCGTCCCTGTGCTAACACTGAGAATATCCCATGTTTGTCCCTGTGCTAACAAAGAGAGGATGTGGTACCTAAGAAGGCGGATGGGGAGACGGTTCCGTTGCTACGGGCGACCATCACACTGATCCCGGTCTCCACGAAGGGGACGGAGAAGTCGATGATCTCGGAGCGCTCCTCGTTGATGGTGAGCGAGCCGATGGCCATGTCCGCTCGCTTGTAGAACACCTGCAGGAAACACAGAGCACAGGGACTTTTACCATCAGGACCGGTCTGGGCACGGGCGGTGACATTACTCACAGTCTGTGGGGGTGTACCCGGAAAGAGAATTACCCAATACTTTAGAATGGCGTCTTACAGGATGGTCCAAAAGTGGTTCTTGGTCCAAAAGTGGTTCTTGGTCCAAAATTGGTTCTAGGTCCAAAAGTGGATCTAGGTCCAAAAGTGGTTCTTGGTCCAAAAGTGGTTCTAGGTCCAAAAGTGGTTCTAGGTCCAAAAGTGGTTCTTGGTCCAAAAGTGGATCTAGGTCCAAAAGTGGTTCTAGGTCCAAAAGTGGTTCTTGGTCCAAAAGTGGTTCTAGGTCCAAAAGTGGATCTAGGTCCAAAAGTGGTTCTTGGTCCAAAAGTGGATCTAGGTCCAAACGTGGTTCTAGGTCCAAAAGTGGATCTAGGTCCAAAAGTGGATCTAGGTCCAAAAGTGGTTCTTGGTCCAAAAGTGGTTCTAGGTCCAAAAGTGGTTCTTGGTCCAAAAGTGGATCTAGGTCCAAAAGTGGTTCTTGGTCCAAAAGTGGTTCTAGGTCCAAAAGTGGTTCTTGGTCCAAAAGTGGTTCTAGGTCCAAAAGTGGTTCTAGGTTCAAAAGTGGATCTAGGTCCAAAAGTGGTTCTTGGTCCAAAAGTGGTTCTTGGTCCAAAAGTGGTTCTAGGTCCAAAAGTGGTTCTAGGTTCAAAAGTGGTTCTAGGTCCAAAAGTGGTTCTAGGTCCAAAAGTGGTTCTTGGCCCAAAGCTTGGTTCCAGATGCTGTCTGAGGGGAGTTTATCTTTTTGGTTTAGCTGCTGTGGACTGCAGAAAGCACTCGTCAAATGAATCCACCAGTGCAGCTAACGTATGCGCAAATGTGTTTTTTTCACATTTTCCAGCCCCCACGGTTAATATTTACAGTCTATGATCAGGATTATCGGAATTCTGAAATTACTAGAACTCCCAGAGCCGCCATTTTGACTGCTCCCACTCATTTCAGTTTTATTAAAAGTGAATAATTGACATGTTAATGAACCTTGTAAATTACTCACTAAGAGGTAAAATCTGTCCCCAAATGACAGTTATCAGTGTGTTGCTATGGTAATCAGCGCTCGCTCTTTGGTGGGAAACAAAGCTGAACAAGAACCTGTCCAGGACCAGTCCAAGACCAGTCCAAGTCCAGTCCAAAACCAGTCCAAGACCAGTCCAAGTCCAGTCCAAGACCAGTCCAAGATGGCTGACCTTTAACTAACATAAAGAAACATTTCAATTTTCACTCCTCACTTTTTAGAAAATTCATACAGATAAGGATTTAGAAACAAAATGTAGATTAAGATTAAGATTAAGAGATCCTTTCTTGGTCCCACAGTGGGGAAATTTCAGTGTTGCATCTCAAGTTACAGAACAGTAGGAAAGAGGTTAAGTGAACAATAACTATACTAATTCAAATGAAACAAAATCTCGCCGAATATTTACACTTCTGAAACTAAAAGCCGTCAAATGGACTGCTCTGGTGTTAAGTCAGACTACTGCTACTTCAACTGTTGCTTTTTCTGCCTTTCCAAACCCCAAAGCCCTCACTTCCACCGCAGCTCGCCCTGTTCTGTTTCCGTGGTGATGGGAGGTCCCTGGAGGTCAGTTTGACGGTTGTTAATCTCGCCGTTCCACTCGTCACTTGTTGTAAACCTCGGCACAACAGAGCTTTCCTCTCACCTGCGTCCGAACCGGCGGCAGACGCAAACACGCCGTGGCTTTGATGGTTCGTGTGGACAAGTTTCCAAAAGCCTGTGTTAAAAAAATCTGCTCTCTCCGGTTTGAGGAGCGGCCGTCACTCCGCGGTGTTGCCGTGGGTTGCGTAAGCCGACAGCAGCGGTAAGACTGAAACTTCACATGAAAGATTCTTAAATGGTTTTCTAGTTTAAATGACTTCAGCAGTTTGGACAATGAAGACTAGGGCATAAAAGCCTCAGTCCTGGGTCTACAGCCTCAGTCCTGGGTCTACAGCCTCAGTCCTGGGTCTACAGCCTCAGTCCTGGGTCTACAGCCTCAGTCCTGGGTCTAATGCCTCAGTCCTGGGTCTGGATTTACAGCCTCAGTCCTGGGTCTACAGCCTCAGTCCTGGATCTACAGCCTCAGTCCTGGGTCTACAGCCTCAGTCCTGGATCTACAGCCTCAGTCCTGGGTCTACAGCCTCAATCCTGGGTCTACAGCCTCAATCCTGGGTCTACAGCCTCAACCCTGGGTCTACAGCCTCAGTCCTGGGTCTACAGCCTCAATCCTGGGTCTACAGCCTCAGTCCTGGGTCTACAGCCTCAGTCCTGGGTCTACAGCCTCAATCCTGGGTCTACAGCCTCAGTCCTGGGTCTACAGCCTCATTCCTGGGTCTACAGCCTCAGTCCTGGGTCTACAGCCTCAGTCCTGGGTCTACAGCCTCATTCCTGGGTCTACAGTCTCAGTCCTGGGTCTACAGCCTCAGTCCTGGATCTACAGCCTCAGTCCTGGGTCTACAGCCTCAGCCCTGGGTCTATAGCCTCAGTCCTGGGTCTACAGCCTCAATCCTGGGTCTACAGCCTCAATCCTGGGTCTACAGCCTCAATCCTGGGTCTACAGCCTCAGTCCTGGTTCTGGAACTACAGCCTCAGTCCTGGGTCTACAGCCTCAGTCCTGGGTCTACAGCCTCAGTCCTGGTTCTGGATCTACAGCCTCAGTCCTGGGTCTACAGCCTCAGTCCTGGATCTACAGTCTCAGTCCTGGGTCTACAGCCTCAGTCCTGGATCTACAGCCTCAGTCCTGGGTCTACAGCCTCAATCCTGGGTCTACAGTCGCAGTCCTGGATCTACCGCCTCAGTCCTGGGTCTACAGCCTCAATCCTGGGTCTACAGCCTCAATCCTGGGTCTACAGCCTCAATCCTGGGTCTACAGCCTCAGTCCTGGGTCTACAGCCTCAATCCTGGGTCTACAGCCTCAGTCCTGGGTCTACAGCCTCAGTCCTGGGTCTACAGCCTCAGTCCTGGGTCTACAGCCTCAATCCTGGGTCTACAGCCTCAGTCCTGGTTCTGGATCTACAGCCTCAGTCCTGGGTCTACAGCCTCAGTCCTGGTTCTGGATCTACAGCCTCAGTCCTGGATCTACAGCCTCAGTCCTGGGTCTACAGCCTCAGTCCTGGGTCTACAGCCTCAGTCCTGGGTCTACAGCCTCAGTCCTGGGTCTACAGCCTCAATCCTGGGTCTACAGCCTCAGTCCTGGGTCTACAGCCTCAGTCCTGGGTCTACAGCCTCAGTCCTGGGTCTACAGCCTCAGTCCTGGGTCTACAGCCTCAGTCCTGGGTCTACAGCCTCAGTCCTGGGTCTACAGCCTCAGTCCTGGGTCTACAGCCTCAGTCCTGGGTCTACAGCCTCAGTCCTGGGTCTACAGCCTCAGTCCTGGGTCTACAGCCTCAGTCCTGGTTCTAGATCTACAGCCTTCAAACTGATTCTCTGATCTGTTGTTGAAGAGTCGACAACTTTGTAAAGTGGAGACGACTGCAGTTATGATGTAGGGCTATACCCAAAGTACTCGAGTACGCAAAAGATCCAATGTTTTCTAACATGCAGGGTTTGATTTCTTCACATGTTACTTTTATAAGACTTATTTCCCATTTACTATTTAAAAACTTAGGTACCCCAGCTTTAAAGACCGCAATGACACATATTCCTGTATATATTCATCTGACAATGTTCAAATCCCGGTGAAAACGGTTCTGTTTCGCTGCAGACGACTGAGGATTGTTTTTAACGTGCCGTGAGTTTTTATTCACTTTGAGTCGTGTACGGACTGTGCTATACCAATAAACTTGCCGTGCCTAGACACAAAAACCAATTAGCAGATGGAAAATTACCACTGCGGGTTCGTTTACTTCTCCCCGGGCAGTAGAAGAACAATCATAATCACCAACCCTGCGTTTGCCACATCAGTGACTCGGCCGGTGAAGGTGTCTTGCCCGAGGACACAGCCGCGGTCCACTCTCACTGGGGCTAATGTGTTTTTGCTAATCACAGCTGCGGCTCTAATGGACTTCCTTCAGAGAGGAGGGGTCCGGGCGCCGCGGTGATGGTCCAGACCGGCCTCGTTACCGCGGTCCACGCCTCATTGGACTCACGGGGCGCCAGGTTCACTGACAAATGGCAGCGCACACGCCTCATGCAGAGAGAGTTTACAGCCACGTGATTGGTCTACGGCTCCACCCACTGCCCCGCTCACTACTGTCATAGACCGTATGGTAGCGGTGGACTGACAGAGTGTGACATCACATTAGAAACACATTTGAACGTAAGCGAGATGGAGCCATTCAAAGACGCCTGTTAAAATTTAATTATCAATAGTTTTGCAAGGGTTCATGGGATATGGAGTTTTTATCAACAGGAACATGTCTTTTTTTTAGCATGAAATAGATCTCTGAAGCTAAGCAGGGAAGGTCCTGGGTAGTATTGTTATGGGAGACCTGTGGGACGTCTCAGTCCTGGGTCTACAGCCTCAGTCCTGGGTCTACAGACTCAGTCCTGGGTCTACAGCCTCAGTCCTGGATCTACAGCCTCAGTCCTGTGTCTACAGCCTCAGTCCTGGATCTACAGCCACAGTCCTGGATCTTTAGCCTGTATGAGATCAGATAAAGCTTGAAAAGTATCAGAATAACTCAGGCTCAGAATAATCTGTCGAATGCTGCCCAGTGTTTGCCCAGGGCTGACCCAGGCTGACCCAGGCTGACCAAGGCTGACCCAGGTTGACCCAGGCCTGTTGATGAGACTGGGGTCAGCTCCAGGCCAGAGGAGAGGCCCTCCCTGCTGCTCACGATGAATGATTCATCCGTAAATACATTTGTCTCGTCTGAGACGTGAAGAGCCTGGATTATTTGGAGGCGAGTCCACGGCATGTGCAAGAGTCAGGTCGTAAATCAGGAACGAATGAAAGGTTTTTGGAGCGAGGCGAAGGAGCGGCACGAGTCCAGAGGAACAGAGAGAGACCAGACAGAGACCAGACAGAGACCAGAGAGAGACCAGAGAGAGACCAGAGAGAGAGACCAGAGAGAGACCAGAGAGAGAGAGACCAGAGAGAGAGACCAGAGGGAGACCAGAGAGAGAGAGAGACCAGAAAGAGAGCAAAGAGAGACCAGAGAGAGACCAGAGAGAGCAGAGAGAGAGAGACCAGAGAGAGAGATGAGAGAGAGTAGAGAGAGAAACCAGAGAGAGAAACCAGAAAGAGAGAGACCAGAGAAAAACTGGAGTGAGAGATCAGAGAGAGACCGAGAGCCTCACTGGTAATAGTATTTGACAGTAGTATAGGTAGTATTGACAGTAATATTGTAGTATTGACAGTAGTATTTGCAGTAGTATTTGCAGTATCGGCAGTAGAATTTGCAGTATTGACAGACTGCAAAGTATTTGCAGTATTGTCAGTAGTATTTGCAGTATCGGCAGTAGTATTTGCAGTATTGACAGTAGTATTTGCAGTAGTATTTGCAGTATTGTCAGTAGTATTTGCAGTATCAGCAGTAGTATTTGCAGTATTGACAGTAGTATTTGCAGTAGTATTTGCAGTATCGGCAGTAGTATTTGCAGTATTGACAGTAGTATTTGCAGTATTGACAGTAGTATTTGCAGTAGTATTTGCAGTATTGACAGTGGTATTTGCAGTAGTATTTGCAGTATTGACAGTAGTATTTGTAGTGGTATTTGCAGTATTGACAGTAGTATTTGCAGTATTGACAGTAGTATTTGCAGTATCGGCAGTAGTATTTGCAGTAGTATTTGCAGTGTTGACAGTAGTATTTTCAGTAGTATTTGCAGTATTGTCAGTAGTATTTGCAGTATTGACAGTAGTATTTGCAGTAGTATTTGCAGTATTGACAGTAGTATTTGCAGTAGTAGTTGCAGTATTGACAGTAGTATTTGCAGTAGTATTGGCAGTATTGACAGTAGTATTTGCAATATTGACAGTAGTATTTACAGTTGTAGTTGCAGTATTGACAGTAGTATTTGCAGTAGTATTTGCAGTATTGACAGTAGTATTTGCAGTAGTATTTGCAGTTTTGACAGTAGTATTTGCAGTAGTATTTGCAGTATCGGCAGTAGTATTTGCAGTAGTAGTTGCAGTATTGACAGTAGTATTTGCAGTAGTAGTTGCAGTATTGACAGTAGTATTTGCAGTAGTATTTGCAGTATTGACAGTAGTATTTGCAGTAGTATTTGCAGTATTGACAGTAGTATTTGCAGTAGTAGTTGCAGTATTGACAGTAGTATTTGCAGTAGTATTTGCAGTATTGATAGTAGTATTTGCAGTAGTATTTGCAGTATTGACAGTAGTATTTGCAGCAGTAGTTGCAGTATTGACAGTAGTATTTGCAGTTTTGACAGTAGTATTTGCAGTAGTATTTGCAGTATTGTCAGTAGTATTTGCAGTAGTATTTGCAGAATTGACAGTAGTATTGTCAGTAGTATTTGCAGTATTGACAGTAGTATTTGCAGTATTGACAGTAGTATTTGCAGTAGTAGTTGCAGTATTGACAGTAGTATTTGCAGTAGTATTTGCAGTGTCGGCAGTAGTATTTGCAGTATTGACAGTAGTATTTGCAGTAGTATTTGCAGTATTGTCAGTAGTATTTGCAGTAGTATTTGCAGTATTGACAGTAGTATTTGCAGTATTGTCAGTATTATTTGCAGTAGTATTTGCAGTATTGTCAGTAGTATTTGCAGTATTGTCAGTAGTATTTGCAGTAGTATTTGCAGTATTGTCAGTAGTATTTGCAGTAGTATTTGCAGTACTGTCAGTAGTATTTGCAGTATCGGCAGTGGTATTTGCAGTATTGACAGTAGTATTTGCAGTAGTATTTGCAGTATTGACAGTAGTATTTGCAGTAGTATTTGCAGTATTGACAGTTGTATTTGCAGTAGTATTTGCAGTAGTATTTTCAGTATTGACAGTAGTATTTGCAGTAGTATTTGCAGTATTGACAGTAGTATTTGCAGTAGTATTTGCAGTAGTATTTGCAGTATTGACAGTAGTATTTGCAGTAGTATTTGCTGTAGTGTTTGCAGTATTGACAGTAGTATTTGCAGTAGTATTTGCAGTAGTATTTGCAGTATTGACAGTAGTATTTGCAGTAGTATTTGCAGTATTGACAGTAGTATTGTCAGTAGTATTTGCAGTATTGTCAGTAGTATTTGCAGTAGTATTTGCAGTATTGACAGTAGTATTTGCAGTAGTATTTGCAGTATTGTCAGTAGTATTTGCAGTAGTATTTGCAGTATTGTCAGTAGTATTTGCAGTAGTATTTGCAGTATTGTCAGTAGTATTGTCAGTAGTATTGTCAGTAGTATTTGCAGTAGTATTTGCAGTATTGTCAGTAGTATTTGCAGTAGTATTTGCAGTATTGACAGTAGTATTTGCAGTAGTATTTGCAGTATTGTCAGTAGTATTTGCAGTAGTATTTGCAGTATTGTCAGTAGTATTTGCAGTAGTATTTGCAGTATTGTCAGTAGTATTGTCAGTAGTATTGTCAGTAGTATTAGCAGTAGTATTTGCAGTATTGACAGTAGTATTTGCAGTAGTATTTTCAGTATTGACAGTAGTATTTGCAGTAGTATTTGCAGTATTGACAGTAGTATTTGCAGTAGTATTTTCAGTATTGTCAGTAGTATTTGCAGTAGTATTTGCAGTATTGTCAGTAGTATTGTCAGTAGTATTGTCAGTAGTATTTGCAGTAGTATTTGCAGTATTGTCAGTAGTATTTGCAGTAGTATTTGCAGTATTGTCAGTAGTATTGTCAGTAGTATTGTCAGTAGTATTGGCAGTAGTATTTGCAGTATCGGCAGCACGCACCTCTCCGATCATGCCGTTCCAGATGCCGCGCACCAGCTTGCCGTGCTTGCCGTTGGTCACCAGGTACAGGTCGTAGGAGAACTTGATGTTTCGTGACAGTTTCTTGAGGATGTCGATGCAGAATCCTTTACAGCACAGTTTGGTGTAGGGCTCTGTGTGGCCGACAATCCTGCACAGGGAGAACATGCAAATCAACACAGGAAACCATGCTAAATGCACATTTCAGATTGATTAACTGCGTCGAAGGCCCACCCCCCTGCAGCGGATCAAAAACACACAGAGAACATGCAAATGTGTAATGTTCATAAATGTACTTTTCGATCCGATCATTTTCAAAGCGTCTGTGTCGTTTGGGTTTGGTTCTGGAGAAAATAAAACCATTACATATGAAAACTTAGAGAGAGACCAGAGAGAGACCAGAGAGAGACCAGAGAGAGACCAGAGAGAGAGACCAGAGAGAGACCAGAGAGAGACCAGAGAGAGACCAGAGAGAGACCAGAGAGAAAGACCAGAGAGAGACCAGAGAGAGAGAGACCAGAAAGAGAGACCAGAGAGAGACCAGAGAGAGAGACCAGAGAGAGAGACCAGAGAGAGAGAGACCAGAGAGAGACCAGAGAAAGACCAGAGAAAGACCAGAGAGAGACCAGAGAGAGACCAGAGAGAGACTAGAGTGAGACCAGAGAGAGACCAGAGAGAGACCAGAGAGAGACCAGAGAGAGACCAGAGAGAGACCAGAGAGAGACCAGAGAGAAAGACCAGAGAGAGACCAGAGAGAGAGAGACCAGAAAGAGAGACCAGAGAGAGACCAGAGAGAGAGACCAGAGAGAGAGAGACCAGAGAGAGACCAGAGAGAGACCAGAGAAAGACCAGAGAGAGACCAGAGAGAGACCAGAGAGAGACTAGAGTGAGACCAGAGAGAGAGACCAGAGAGAGAGACCAAGAGAGAGACCAGAGAGAGACCAGAAAGAGAGACCAGAGAGAGACCAGAGAGAGACCAGAGAGAGAGACCAGAGAGAGACCAGAGAGAGAACAGAGAGAGACCAGAGAGAGACCAGAGAGATACCAGAGAGAGACCAGAGAGAGACCAGAGAGAGACCAGAGAGAGACCAGAGAGAGACCAGAGAGAGACCAGAGAGAGAGACCAGAGAGAGACCAGAGAGAGACCAGAGAGAGACCAGAGAGAGAGACCAGAGAGAGACCAGAGAGAGACCAGAGAGAGACCATAGAGAGAGACCAGAGAGAGACCAGAGAGATACCAGAGAGAGAGACCAGAGAGAGACCAGAGAGAGACCAGAGAGAGAGACCAGAGAGAGACCAGAGAGAGACCAGAGAGAGACCAGAGAGAAAGACCAGAGAGAGACCAGAGAGAGAGAGACCAGAAAGAGAGACCAGAGAGAGACCAGAGAGAGAGACCAGAGAGAGAGACCAGAGAGAGAGAGACCAGAGAGAGACCAGAGAGAGACCAGAGAAAGACCAGAGAGAGACCAGAGAGAGACAGAGAGAGACTAGAGTGAGACCAGAGAGAGAGACCAGAGAGAGAGACCAGGGAGAGACCAGAAAGAGAGACCAGAGAGAGACCAGAAAGAGAGACCAGAGGGAGAGACCAGAGAGAGAACAGAGAGAGACCAGAGAGAGACCAGAGAGATACCAGAGAGAGAGACCAGAGAGAGACCAGAGAGAGACCAGAGAGAGAGACCAGAGAGAGACCAGAGAGATACCAGAGAGAGAGACCAGAGAGAGACCAGAGAGATACCAGAGAGAGAGACCAGAGAGAGACCAGAGAGAGACCAGAGAGAGACCAGAGAGAGACCAGAGAGAGACCAGAGAGAGACCAGAAAGAGACCAGAGAGACACATGGCTTGTATTAATGGCACATTGGTTTTCTATTGGTCGAACTAATTATTATAAATGTGGCCATTACTTTCCCATCTCTGTTGATCAATCGTGAAGGAAAACAAATCTGATATAGATTTAGCATCAGTCGTCATGGTTACGCTGGATCAGAGCAGCCGCTGATGTGTTATTGACTCCATGATAATAATAATAATAATAATAATAATAAAACTGACTTATTATAGTTTCATGAATAATCCACTGAACAAAGCTTAGCCCTCTCGGTCCTGGGTTCGAATCCTGGTCAGAGCTGAGCGGAGTTTGCATGTTCTCTTTGTGTCTGCATAAGTGTCCTCCAGGTGCTCCGGTTTCCCCCACAACCAAACACATGCACAGTAACTCTCTCTCTCTCTGGGAACAGGTCTCTGCTGATGATTCGGAAATCTCAAAATATTTGTGAAAAGTTGAATATGAAAGTAATTTGCAGACACAAACACACAAATATATCCCCCCTGCCACCGCCGTCCAAATCAAGCACGGTAAACTTCTCCTCCCGGGGCCACTTTGGGATCTGAGCCTGATGTCGGGGTCGGACCTAAATGTGTTAAATAAATATCCCGGCAGAGTGAGGAGCGTGACTGTGGCTCTGCTGCAGCACTGAGGGATTCTATGGTTTTTACATTACATCTATAACAACAGAGAAGGACTAAGGCCCCGACAGAAACCTCCAAAGGGCCGTGTCTGGCTCTTGGGCCGTGTCTGGCTCTCGGGCCGTGTCTGGCTCTTGGGCCGTGTCTGGCTCTCGGGCCGTGTCTGGCTCTAGGGCCGTGTCTGGCTCTCTGGCCGTGTCTGGATCTAGGGCCGTGTCTGGCTCTCGGGCCGTGTCTGGCTCTCGGGCCGTGTCTGGCTCTCGGGCCGTGTCTGGCTCTCTGGCCGTGTCTGGCTCTCTGGCCGTGTCTGGATCTCGGGCCGTGTCTGGCTCTCTGGCCGTGTCTGGATCTCGGGCCGTGTCTGGCTCTCGGGCCGTGTGTCTGGCTCTCGGGCCGTGTCTGGCTCTCGGGTTGTGTCTGGCTCTCGGGCCGTGTGTCTGGCTCTAGGGCCGTGTCTGGCTCTCGGGCCGTGTCTGGCTCTCGGGTTGTGTCTGGCTCTCGGGCCGTGTGTCTGGCTCTCGGGCCGTGTCTGGCTCTAGGGCCGTGTCTGGCTCTCGGGCCGTGTCTGGCTCTCGGGTTGTGTCTGGCTCTCGGGCCGTGTCTGGCTCTCGGGCCGTGTCTGGCTCTCGGGCCGTGTCTGGCTCTCGGGCCGTGTCTGGCTCTCGGGCCGTGTCTGGCTCTCGGGTTGTGTCTGGCTCTCTGGCCGTGTCTGGATCTCGGGCCGTGTCTGGCTCTCGGGCCGTGTGTCTGGCTCTAGGGCCGTGTCTGGCTCTCGGGCCGTGTCTGGCTCTCGGGCCGTGTCTGGCTCTCGGGCCGTGTCTGGCTCTCGGGTTGTGTCTGGCTCTCTGGCCGTGTCTGGATCTCGGGCCGTGTCTGGCTCTCGGGCCGTGTGTCTGGCTCTAGGGCCGTGTCTGGCTCTCGGGTTGTGTCTGGCTCTCGGGCCGTGTGTCTGGCTCTCGGGCCGTGTCTGGCTCTCGGGTTGTGTCTGGCTCTCGGGCCGTGTGTCTGGCTCTAGGGCCGTGTCTGGCTCTCGGGCCGTGTCTGGCTCTCGGGTTGTGTCTGGCTCTCGGGCCGTGTGTCTGGCTCTAGGGCCGTGTCTGGCTCTCGGGCCGTGTCTGGCTCTCGGGTTGTGTCTGGCTCTCGGGCCGTGTCTGGCTCTCGGGTTGTGTCTGGCTCTCGGGCCGTGTGTCTGGCTCTAGGGCCGTGTCTGGCTCTCGGGCCGTGTCTGGCTCTCGGGTTGTGTCTGGCTCTCGGGCCGTGTGTCTGGCTCTAGGGCCGTGTCTGGCTCTCGGGCCGTGTCTGGCTCTCGGGTTGTGTCTGGCTCTCGGGCCGTGTCTGGCTCTCGGGTTGTGTCTGGCTCTCGGGCCGTGTGTCTGGCTCTAGGGCCGTGTCTGGCTCTCGGGCCGTGTCTGGCTCTCGGGTTGTGTCTGGCTCTCGGGCCGTGTCTGGCTCTCGGGCCGTGTCTGGCTCTCGGGCCGTGTCTGGCTCTCGGGCCGTGTCTGGCTCTCGGGCCGTGTCTGGCTCTCGGGTTGTGTCTGGCTCTCGGGCCGTGTCTGGCTCTCGGGCCGTGTCTGGCTCTCGGGCCGTGTCTGGCTCTCGGGCCGTGTCTGGCTCTCGGGCCGTGTCTGGCTCTCGGGCCGTGTCTGGCTCTCGGGCCGTGTCTGGCTCTCGGGTTGTGTCTGGCTCTCGGGCCGTGTCTGGCTCTCGGGCCGTGTCTGGCTCTCGGGCCGTGTCTGGCTCTAGGGCCGGGGTTTTCCCTCCATGGCTCTAAACGCTCTGAGCTTTCGAACGGCATAAAGACAGACCTCAGACTGTGACGTCATGCTCACTTCTGCCCCCTGAGGCTTAAAAGAAAAGTGTTTCCTCTAAATTAGTTGGAGGAGTGTTCTATGTGACTCAAAGGTTTCGGGCAAGATTTTGCCGCTCTTTTATCTCGACTCTTTCCTCTTTTCCTGGTGTTATGTTGGTCCGCTGCAGAGGATTGGAGCTGAAGACAAGGACTGATGATAAAACTGTAAAAATGGTACAACTATGGTAGAGACATCTTTTTAAATACCATTTCCTTGTCCGCCATGTTGGAACTCAGACAGTTCAAACACGAGAAACCTAGCAGCTACTTATTTTGAGTGCGTCCTGTGTCTCTTATTACTGTCCTGTCTGTGCGCTGCAACATTGAAATTTCCCCATGAATAAAGGCTCTCTGTCTAATCTCAGCAGCTGAACGCATAAGCTGCACATTCTGCTCAGCGCGTCCGTCTGCAGTGATGGTTATGAGCTTCAGGGCCTCTCTCCGTCACAGAAGGTCTTTCTGCTCGACCCAAACGTTATTCTATGATTATAATGTCACAGAGAAGTGGTGTGTTGCCCAAAGGCACCACATTATACAGCTACAAAACAGCTTTGTCACCATTTCCCCATGTGAACAAGGCTTCAATCAGTATAAAATATTTAACTTTATGCTAATGTTTGATAGAATACATGGCTCAGAGTTGTATGTATTTGTGTATTTGTGTATTCATGAGCAGCAGTGTGTGTAAAAACATCAGATTGTAGTTTTTTTGCAGCTTATTTCCATCCGTAGTGCCACTCACATCAATCATTCACTCTGAACTATTCTACTAGTTTACAGTGGTGGGTGGAAAATTATGCAGACATGGGGAGAACATGCAAACTCCACTCAGAAAGGCCCTGTCTGTAGGTGGAACTGAACTCAGAAACTATTTTTCTCCCGGAAAAATTGTGCTGTGGCAAGAGACCACACTGAGGGAGTCTTGCACAGTTTTTCCAATGTGGTTTTACTGCAAATGGCAAATACACTAGCAATAGAGGTAGCAAACCAGGAAACAGTCTGAGTGAGCAGTCTGTAAACATGTGGCCAAAAGTGGTACTGCAGCCTCTCCCACTCTCCCTGACTCAGGTTGCCAGATATGCAGACGAATCCAGCTGGGACCATAACAGCTGAATAGACAAGAGTTTTGTCAACAACAAATCTATAACCAACACCTTTTTCACAAAGATAGAAATCCTGGTTTTATTCCTTGTTTTGTCGTTAATGGTTTGAGAATCATAACGAGACCTTTTTTAGTTCTGCGCCACATGGTACTTTACCAGTGAGATTAGCTCCACACGGTGAGTTCTGGTGCCCGGATCACGGACTTTCTGATTGGTGAAACGGTGGAGGGCGGGATATGGAAATGAAAACAATAACAAGATTTAGAGGCTGGAAAAGTCATTTAGAAATTCAAATATCTCTGAACGACTGTTATCAGTTAAAGAAGTATTGGAAAAGACCATGGTTTATAATGTCCTAATTGACAGATGGACATTAAAATCTTACATACAGTGTATCTGTCTCTGTGTAGACGCTGTGGAGGAGCTGCAGTGTGAGTGGGTGACATTGGTGGACACGGGGCAGTGGGACAGATGGACGACCATCTGGATGGACGGGACTGATCCAACAACAGTTAATGACAAACAAACACAGCGGCGCATGGGTCGACTCCCATCGGCGGCGGCACCAAAGGGTTCGGAGGCGGCCGTCGCACCAGGATCTGAGGAACTCGCTCTGATTCAGTGAGAAATGAGGAAAACAAAGTGTGAAGAGTGGTTTTAACAAACTGCAGGAGCCGAGAGGGAAGCTTTAAACTGTGTCTATGTAGAGATTAACAACATCACACAAAGTCCAAATCATCTGTGAGTCGCAGCCACGGTCTCAACAAACAGAACACTCAGAACCAAAGAGTAAAGATCAGAATGTATCTCAGAGAAGACTATTCTGTTTAGACTCATACAACAGTTATAACTTATTAACTGATGATAATAACTGAACTAACTATATTCACACTCACATTAGTCCTGGTCTCAGGTCTCTGTCCTGAAGTCCTCTCACATTAGTCCTGGTCTCAGGTCTCTGTCCTGAAGTCCTCTCACATTAGTCCTGGTCTCAGGTCTCTGTCCTGAAGTCCTCTCACATTAGTCCTGGTCTCAGGTCTCTGTCCTGAAGTCCTCTCACATTAGTCCTGGTCTCAGGTCTCTGTCCTGAAGTCCTCTCACATTAGTCCTGGTCTCAGGTCTCTGTCCTGAAGTCCTCTCACATTAGTCCTGGTCTCAGGTCTCTGTCCTGAAGTCCTCTCACATTAGTCCTGGTCTCAGGTCTCTGTCCTGAAGTCCTCACATTAGTCCTGGTCTCAGGTCTCTGTCCTGAAGTCCTCTCACATTAGTCCTGGTCTCAGGTCTCTGTCCTGAAGTCCTCTCACATTAGTCCTGGTCTCAGGTCTCTGTCCTGAAGTCCTCTCACATTAGTCCTGGTCTCAGGTCTCTGTCCTGAAGTCCTCTCACATTAGTCCTGGTCTCAGGTCTCTGTCCTGAAGTCCTCTCACATTAGTCCTGGTCTCAGGTCTCTGTCCTGAAGTCCTCTCACATTAGTCCTGGTCTCAGGTCTCTGTCCTGAAGTCCTCTCACATTAGTCCTGGTCTCAGGTCTCTGTCCTGAAGTCCTCTCACATTAGTCCTTTGCCTCGAAACCAAATTGAAGGTGTTTTTTTTATGTTAATCACAAGAAAATGTAAAAGTGTGTTTTTCTCGTTAGCCAAACGTCTTTATCGCACGTTTCTCTTTTTTGCTGAGTTTGGAAATTAATGAAACATGAGGAATCTACGTGTTGCTTTTCTTTAATTGCTTCTTTCTGCATTTTGTGATTCTGAAATGAGAACTTTGAAACTAAATCGTCTGAACACTGGAACTCTGACACTTTGAGTTTTGGAAGTGTATTTACATTTTTAGTCATAACTTTGTGACTTTCTCTGTAACTGTATAATTATCCATTCACTTTCTTCCGCTTCATCCGTTGCCGGGTCGCGGGGGCAGCAGTCCAAGCAGAGACTTCCCTCTCACACACTTCCTCCAGCTCGTCCAGAGATCTATAAAGAGTTTCATTTTTAAACTTTAACTAAAACTCAAATGTAGACATATTTGGGCGCTTTCTTTTTATTGCAGTTTAGACTCTATGTTCAAGGTGCTGATCCTGGACCGGTTTCCATAGCAACACAATGTTTACTGTTAGCTGTTAGCATTAGCAACACACCGTTTTCGCTGTATTTGACGTTATATAAACCAGTTTCAGCATTAATTTAAAGTGAATGAATATAAAACAAAATCGATAATTATAAATGAGTTTCTTTTAATAAATCTGGTGAAAACATTAAAATTTTTGGGGGTTAATTTCTCAGAATTCCATTGGTTTAACGGGAGCAGTCAAAATGGCGGCTGTGGGAGGTCCCGTAGTCTCATAAATTCATTAAAGTTAAAATGTTGGATTTTCAGCTGAACAAATAAAGGTCTTAGTCTTTTTCTAAAGCTACTTTTCACAATAAGACCAAGAACGTGTGATAGACCGAAGGGCGACTTTAACACTGAGAAAAAGTAAAGTATTCTAAATAAATAACATTAAAGTAAACATATCCTCGCAGTCATTCAGCCGAGACTAAGATAATCTTGTTTGACTTTGCTTTGTTCACCTCCAAACACTGACCCAGTCTCCTCTCCTCAGACAACACTCCGGTCCACAATAATAAGGTCAGAACGCTGGAGAATACCAACGATGACATCACCAATTCAAGATGGCCGACGACTCACACGCCTGCACCGTGGCGCCGGATACTTTTACATGCACACAGAGAATGTTACTCTCTCTCTCTGCTTCCTGGAGTGGTTCAATGATTATAATGATAATAGTAATAAAGTACATTTGGACGCATGACTAGAAGCATGGCTAACCACTTTAAACCAGGCTTGATTCTAATAAAACCCATTTGTATTGTTCTGTGGTCTCTAATCAAACACACACACGCCAGACTCATGATAGGTCACGTGTCTTGCCGAAGGACAGTCGACATTTTTACACTTTCCAGCCGCAGCTGCCCCACTGTGGCACCCGGTGTTCAGAGAGGTCTCCCATCGCATTGCTTAGAAAGTTTCTCCCTGCTTAGCTTCTGATGCTTTCAGGCTTATATTTTTACATATACTTTGATCAAGCGCAAACTGGTGCAAGTTAGTCCATAATCAAGTCTCTGACCAATGAATTAAATCATTTATTTATTTGTTTGTTTGTATGCCACCCTACCCTGGTCTTACTATACCATGGTACAGGTACTGCTCTGTCCAGAAGCAGGATTGCTTCCTGCTTCTGGACAGAGCAGTCGCATTCTCTTGCTGCTCCTCGCTTGCTGCTTTTTTATCTCCTTTAATCATTTTTGCTTACATTTTTATTCCACAAAACACGGATTACTCCTTTTTACAAACTTCAACACAAGACTTGTGGAATTTACCTAACTTACAGCATGTCGGGAGGACGGCAAAGAACAAAACTTTGCGACGGCTGTTTTTCACTCAAACAGGAGCTAAAACTTCTTCAAGACCGAATGTTTGTGCTTGAATCAGAATTGGGGCTGAACACAACAATACCAGTGAAAGGAAATGGACCAAATGGACAGAACGTAAGTTATGATGACGCTATTTCATTTCCCAAAATCAACAGAGACAATTGTTGGAACACATATGGTGCCAAGCCCAAACAAGGCAAAGCTAATGATAACAAGAGTGTCATAATGCCACAGCAAAAATCTTTAATTACAAGAAACCGCTTTTCACCACTTTTGGAAGATGAATCAGCAGTAGTCTCTACAACAAAGCTGCTAAAAACTGCAGCGCCTCCACCAAGGACAAACTGTGTCCTTATCGGAGATGGCTCGGTGAAAAATGTAAACATGGAGTCCATGCTCACTGTCTCAGTTCACTCTGCTAAAGTTGCTGAGATAAGAACTCTCCTGCCTAAAGTGTTATCTGAGAACAGTGGTGTGCGTACATTATTGATCCACACGGGGGCGGTAGATATCTATGAGAAGGCAAGCGAGAAGTTACGAATGGATTTAACGCTGTTACTGGATGACCTCAAGAAAATGGACATAACAATTTTTCTTAGTGGCCCACTGCCAAATATAGATGGAAAAATGGAGAAGTTTAGCCGTCTGTATCAGCTAAACACATTCCTACTCAATGAGTGTTCACGCAGAGGACTTGGCTTCATTGAAAACTTTAATCTGTTCTGGAATAGGCACGAGCTTTTTGAAGAAAAAGGCCCACATCTGAACAACTACGGAGTAAAAGTGCTGATGGATAACTTTGCATCTGCCCTAAGACCTCAGCCTGCGCAGCGCGTGCAGCCGTTGAAAGGGAGAAAGAAGAAGCAAAGGGCACAGACATCACGACCATCTCCACCGACTCCCGAGGTCTCTGCACCCCCACCGCCTCAAAAGAACTCCACACCTCCACGATTCAAGAAGAACTCAACACCTCCAAGGTTCCAAAAGAACTCAACACCTCCACGGCTCCGAAAGAGCTCAACGCCTCCACCGCCAGCATCATCAGCAGCTGCCACATCTTCATCAGCGCCATCAGCATATACAGCACCACCAGCAGCAGTGGATACAGCCGCAGCAGTGGCTGCTCCATCATCTTCAGCAGCAGCAGTGGCTGCTCCATCATCTTCAGCAGCAGCAGTGGCTGCTCCATCATCTTCAGCAGCAGCAGTGGATACAGCCGCAGCAGTGGCTGCTCCATCATCTTCAGCAGCAGCAGTGGCTGCTCCATCATCTTCACCAGCAGCAGTGGATACAGCAGCAGCAGTGGCTGCTCCATCATCTTCAGCAGCAGCAGTGGCTGCTCCATCATCTTCAGCAGCACCTTCCCCACCTACAGCTCCCGTGAAGCTTCCCCCATTACTCCAGGCTACAGGGGTCTCTGCTTTGGGATCCTGGGACCTCTTCTGTTCAATCTCTACATGCTGCCGTTAGGTCAGTTAATACGCAGAAACAAAGTGTCCTATCACAACTATGCAGACGACACTCAGATCTATGTCTCACTGACTGCAGGAGAACATGGACCAGTGGACTCACTCCTTCACTGTATCCAACAGATCAGTGAGTGGATGCAAAACAACTTCCTTCAGCTAAACGCAGACAAAACTGAAATGATTGTCTTTGGTCCCCAGAAACAAAGAGAGAGCGTCATCTGTCACCTACAGTCTCTCTCCCTAAAACCTTCAAACAAGGTCAGAAATCTAGGGGTAATACTGGACTCAGACTTAAATTTTAATAGCCACATCAAATCAGTAACATCAGCAGCTTTTTACCATCTAAAAAACATTTCCAGGATCAAAAACATAGTGTCTAAAGCAGACTTGGAGATTCTTATCCATGCATTTGTCTCCAGTAGGTTAGACTACTGCAATGGCCTGCTCACAGGTCTGTCCAAACAGGCTGTAAAACAGCTGCAGTACATTCAAAATGCAGCAGCTCGAGTCCTGACTAGAACCAGGAAGTACGACCATATTAGTCCTGACTAGAACCAGGAAGTACGACCATATTAGTCCTGACTAGAACCAGGAAGTACGACCACATTAGTCCAGTCCTCAGGTCTCTGCACTGGCTTCCTGTG